GAGCTGTACGCCATAATCATCACAATTATGACAAATCACGGCTTGAACTACCTTGCTCTGCATGTAATAATGAGTCTTATCCCATATATTAGTTTCACCTTTTAAGTTGCACTACTGAAATAAATGAACTTTTGCACGATATTCTAATTTTTTGAGTTTAATTCACTTGTATTTCCTTTTTCTCGCAATAAACAATAAAATTGGCTATAAATTGGATATGTCATTTGATAGTTTTTGTTGTGATAGCTGCCTACTGATGAAATTTCATTCAGTAATGGTCAGGATTCGTCTACTTCCTTTATTCCTTATACAATCCCAATTTGTTTCAACATAGTTGGAGAATTCCCTGGAGCAGAGGATTCTAACCAGCATTTGGGAAATTCGAGGCATGTGGGTGGAAATCTACTAATCTACATTATAATGTTGTATGTAATCCACAGGCTGTACCAATTCTTTTTCTCTGCCACACCATTTCTTTAAAATGATTTATGTAGGCTATAAATATAGCAAAAGTTACATGTAAAAGAGAATCACACAAACAATTCAGAGATCACTGCATTCTACTTCATGAAGTGATTATTTTAATTGTAATCCTTATATGAATGCTAGATTCAGAATCTGATATAAATGGATATATAATTTAATATGATATTTCTTATATAGTCACAGTGAGATTTGCAAGAGAGAAGTACAAATACTCAAATTGAATAATAAGAGTTGAACAGAAAACTGACTGGCTGACAGACCGTCGAATGCGGGTGGAAGAAACATAAAACAAAGCACTGGAAAATGGAATATCTGGAGCAACATTTATTTTCCAATAAATTGGAAAAGTGACTAAGAGCATGTCATTGCAGTTCCAGCCTTCTCTTTATTACATAATCTCTTACTATTCCTATTCTGGGCCCACAAAAAGGTGAAATGATTTAATGCCTAGACTACAGTGAAACCTTCACGATAGACATATACAATAGCAATAGAATAATAGCCTGATTGAAATTGCTGAATCTGGCATACAAATTGAACTGTATATGTTGACTGAATATGCTCTGACAAAGTGGCCCCTTATTCACCAGTACCAGACTTTTTGAAATGGTTGATTTCAAACTAAAACTGTTGTTTGACTAAACAATCAATAAATTTAAAAATAGTACAAAACAGTTAAGATTACATCCATCAATTAATACTCATTGGTCAATATTTGATACTTGCTTCCAGGTAAGTATCCCTAATGATAACGGGATTCATTTAGCAGTGTGATTGATTGAATATACATTTTCAGAAGAATAACACATTTTTCAGGATTCGTTTGCTTTTCTCCTTTAGAGGCCAAAGTGTTACAATTCTATTCCAGCAATAAATTAAGATTATTAGATAAGAATTGTCTTATCTTTCATAGGGAGTGCTGGAACACCTGTCATTTTCAATGAAAATGGAGATGCCCCTGGCCGTTATGATATCTTCCAATATCAAATAACCAACAGAAGTGCAGAATATAAAGTCATTGGCCACTGGACGAATCAACTTTATCTAAATGTAAGTTTGTACATTTCTTTAGTGATGTTATTTCATAAATATGGCTTAACATAAAGAAAAGCAATGATGTTTTTTTAATGTATTTGTTTCTTGGGGCTTCTACATTTATTTAAAATGTTTCAGTATTAACCGATTTATTGATTTAGTACTTAGAAGGAGTCACTCAACTCAGAAGTTGCATTTGATGAAGAGAAAGAGCCTAGAAGTCTGTTCCAAAGAGCAATACATTTTCTTGGAAGACTGATGGAATTCTCCACTTTACTGGCATGCTGTAACATCTGTAACATCTCAATCATTTCAATCATTCGCTATAGGTAGAACAACCTTCCTGAAAGTCACACCTCAATGACTACTAATTCTAAAATACATTCTTAATTCCTTTAGACCAGTGTTGGACCAGCCCATCAATTGCCATGAAAGTATTGCACATACATGAATATGTTCTTCTATATGCCAATATTCCATTACAAATGCTCAATGACAAACCAACTGATGTTTTAATAAAAATAACAAATTAGGAAATATCATTTAAACAGTGATTTTTGATTGGCCAAAACAGATTTATACAGTGCTGTTTATATTGTAACAGGCCAATGATAAGAATAACAAAAGAACAATGATTTACAAATGATTACTCTTCTTGCCAGATTTTGGTTACATTATCAACATGAAGGCATGGCAGATGAAATGCATTCAATATTTTCCAGTAATATTATGGTTCCCGGTCAATTACTATTCCTATCAATAGTAATTTCAAGAACAATTATATATGAATTATGCGGACTTTGAAAAAAATGTGTATACTGGGAGGGATGAATAATGTTTTAAAAAGATTAAAGGAAAAATTTATGGCCCCCATGATGCTACTGAAAAGCTGCCTGGCATCTTCTTTTACTTGTATAACTTTTTCTTATATTGGAAGTTGAACTTTATTTATTGTCATTTTAATAAACCTAAGCTATTATGGAGAGATTTTATCGGCTTGACTTTTCCTTTTAATATTGTTTTAAATGTTATTAGCCCCTTCCCCCAACATTGGGATTGTTTTCAAAGTTCCATATAATTCACAGATATTCTAATATTTGTTCTTGGAATTATTATTGATAGCTAATATGTTGAATTAATTGCTTTTAACTTCTAAAGTTGCTGCTTTTGGAACTATAAGATTTTCAAATCAGAGAATGGAATGTTTTGTCCAGTAATTCCGAAAAAATTGAGCTCAATTCACATATTTTATTCTTTCTAATCAATTTTAATTGCCAGGAGTTTTGACATATTTGAAATAATATAGCACAAGCAATTGTCAGTAGCTTTTAAATGTGTGCTGAATATGGCATAATCTAATTAAGTCAGTGGCATTTGGTTTTCATTCTGTGACATGCAATGTTTAAAATTATTCTAGGAATATTGTAGGCAAAGTGTATTAAGTGAGTGGGGTTTATTCCACAATAAGTGTGTACAGAATTGGAACCATGAGATATGAAGATTTAAATTAATGCTAACCCTGTTCTCCTACTTTGAAGAAATGTTTTCATCCACACGAAAGAATGTGTTTTTTGCCAACAGATAAAATAATTTCTTTAAAAATTTGTAATGTTGGGGACAATTTGTGCATGCTTTGTACACCAATTATCTAGTATATATTAGGTTACTGTTAAATTTATATTGAACTTCTTACCTCTTACATTAAAAATGTATTCACCTTATCAAGAAAAATCTTAGAATTTAAATCAACAGCAGTTACTGGAATGGTCAGATGATCATATAATGCCATAGAATAATTCCAAGAAGATATGTAGTTGAAAAAACCCTGTGTATAAAGAAAACCCAGCCTTCATATCTCATCTTTTCTTATGGGATTATCCAAACAGATAAACATCATTAAGCTAATATCATACATCATTTTTAAATCAATTCTAAATACAAGAACTCATTACAGACTTTTTAAAATGAATATTGTTTTGATGTGTATTATACCAATCCAATTTACGTATTTGATAATAATTGTAACAGTAGCATTTATGTATATAATTTATTATTTGTCAGTATCAGGGGACCCACTGTAGACAATTTAGAGTGGAGGTCTTTGTTTCCCTGAAAACATTAAGATAGCTGAATGACATTTTGCCAGTGTCTCTCAAGCTTCTATTGCTTTATATTTTAAATGCTGTTCAACTTTCTTTCTGGAAATTATATTATATATTTATTCTAATCAATTAATGGTAAAAAACTGATAAAACTGTTATGATGATGAAATGGAATAATTTGATGTATACTTCACAAAATCTTATTGAAACACAAATATAGGGATTACAGATCATGAATGTGTAATTGTTATTGTTTACTGTTTGTCTATTACTGGCTATGCTACACAACTTACAATCTTATTACTTAATTAAAAGAAATAAGAACTGCCTGTAGTAGGTTTACAAATGTCCCAAAGTGCTTTTCTCAAGAGGCAACTGGACTTTCTGGTTTTTCTTTGAAGATGTTTCACTTCTCATGCAAGAAGCTTCTTCAGCTTTGACTGGATGGTGGAGAATGGAAGGATCATCCAGTCAGATCAGGGGTGGTATTCACTTACCTTCCTTATCAGTTTGCAAATGTGAGTGCATATGCTCACAATCATGGCTGGTTAAAAGAATGAACAAATAATCTGATTTTGCTTGCTATATTGGGCATAATAGCAAAGCTTTTGCAACTTGTTTTCATGATAGGAATATTCAAAATATTCTCATATTAAATAACACAAATATGTCTTTTTATCAGTTAAAGGGAAAAATGTAAGCATCTAATCATGTTAAAGAATAAATCAATATCAGTGGTTAGGTGTATTCTCAGAGAACAGCTGGATATTATAGCCAGGGCATGGTAATCCTGAATGTTCACTATCATGAGGATTTTTCTTTTCTTGGTGCTGCATCAAATATTTAGATTTATTTTACAGTTAACTGTTTTTCTATGGACATTGGAGTGGTTACTACCTCTGTTATGCTGCTTCTATTTCTATAGATATGAGAGTGACTCTCCTTTCTGGGTAGAAAATGCTGAGTCTGCCCTGGAAAAACATTACAAAATCTTGAAGATATCTATGTCAGCAGATTTTGCTGACATTTGGATTTTCTTTTAGTTACAGAATTGCTTTCTGCCTGTACCCCTTAGTAATGTAAATGCTCCAGGCACACTCTGTCTTCACATTCTTTTCAAAACAGATATAGCTGTTAGGAAAATAGATATTTTACCCCAAAAAATAATAACAGATACCATTCAGATTAAAATAAGTTTTTTTAAACTTTCTGTGAAATATGGTATATTTGGCACATCAATAATTTATGCAGAACAACAGCTGACAAAAATGGAAAAAGTCTACCTTTAAACAGACAATCGTGCAAATAAAGGAAAGCTGATGAAGCAAAGCATTCTCTATTCTCCGGCTATTAGATGCTGTCTTGTGATCTTGCACACATTCTCTTGGATGTCCTCTTAGGATAGCTTTATAAAATAGACAGGTAGCTGTTACTATTTATAGTGAATCCATGGACATTCTCCCTTTCTGCTAGCAGTCATGCAAAGGAACTAACAATACAGAAATCTGGTTTATGTAGTCAAAATCAATATTGAGTAATTCAAAATGAAGAGACCTGGGTTAAAGGAGAAAGAGAGGAAAGCAACTCTGGAAGAAATGGGCTTCAGAAAGTGAGAACACCTGTAAGAAAAGCTGTTACAATGATCCTATCAACAACCAAAGCATCCCTGGCCTGCTCTCGAGTTGCCATAGGCAAGCGGGGGAGGGGAAATGGACAGAGCAGCACGGCAGCCACAACCATCTTTCTCAAAGCTGTCTCCCAAGTTACCTGCAACAGCTGGAGAGGTGTGATCGCTACAGCCCACAAAAGTGCTCCAATGTGATTTATGATACACCATGGGGGAGAGGGGGAAACAGATTCATACTTGGGCCATAAATTACATGGGGCCAGAACTGGCTTGCTGTCAGGATTCCTATGGATGCCCTAATTAAATCATGAGCCTCAAGCCAAGCTTCAAAAGAAATCCAGTTATTTATCAAGTTGGCATGTACCCAAGTGAAGCCAGTTCTGACCCCATGTAATTTATGGCCCAAGTATGATCTTGTTTTCCCCCCTCCCTCCAGGATGTGTCATAAATCACATTCTCCAACAGAGTACTTTTGTGGGCTGTAGAGATTTTTTTGATTTTTTTGATTTTTTTTATTATTTATAGGTGGCCCTTTTTCCTGAGGGGACTCAGGGCGGCTTACAATTCATGGGAGGGGGTGTGCAAGACAAAACATAAGACAGTACGTGAATTTAAAAAAAATAAACAATAAAACACAACTTTCATTCAACATTCGGGTGGGGCGGATTAAAATCTTTATCCCCA